ATTTTGGGCGTTCGCGGTGATTCAAAGTCGCCTTCATAATACATAATGTCTCCACTATCAACTAAATTTCAAAAAAACTCTAAAAACTCACCTATTTCAATATCCGCTTTTACTTTTTCGCCTGTCTCATTTCCTTCCTCATCGACTTCGTTCTCTTCCGTTTCTATTTGAGCCTCGGGATTATTTTCAATAAATAAATCTCAAAATTTCGGTCTATTAGGGAGGTCCTTATCATCACCCAAAAACTCTTTTTGAAATAATTTAGTATTGAACCTTTTTACTCACTTGTTATCCTCTGGATTTAAAAAGTTTGTTTCTTGTCATCTTTCTGGTAATTGGTCATAAATACCAAAATGTTCGGCGTATTTTTTGAATTCACTTCAAGTTCAACTAAAATCCAATGGATTACTCAATCGCCCCTCTCGGTAAACGGCCGGTTCCACATCTTCCAAGTGATTAGTGGCAAATATTCAGAGATTATTGCTCCTGTCTTTCTGGTCGATGCCCTCCAAACATTCTTTTAAAAATCGTAATTTAGTGGGGTCATGGGTCAGAGCATTATTAGAAATTTGGTCGGCTTCATCCACAAATAGAATATAACGCACCTCGCCATTTTCCTCGCGTTCAAAGCCATAGGTTTCCACCAAGGTTCATTCTAATTCACTAATGGTATAAACAAACTTCTTTAATGGCAATAATTTAGATTCTTGATCTTCCTTGGTCGGTGTTAGAGCCGAGCCTTTTATTCCTACTAATGGATATTTATTGGCTTTAACACAAACATTTTTAACCGTTGCTGTTTTACCCGTGCCGGGTGCTCCGTAAAAAATGGCACTGTTGTCTTTTTTGTCATCGTCGGTTTTTCCACGAGTAGGATTAGCGACAACTTTTTCCTCTCACTTTCTAATTTTGTCAGAGAGAATTAATTTTTCTTCTTTTTCTAACATGCCACAACCACAATCTTCATTATTTTCTTTGCCTTTGTTGTAGTATTCTCTAAGTGCGGGAGGAAAAAAAATTTCGTAACTGGCGGCTCGCGAAAATTGGAAATTTCTGTTTCTATCGCCATCGGGGAAAATAGAAGCATCCTCTTGGTATTTCTTAATTAGAGTGCTTGCTATTTTTTTTACTTCTCGGTCGGCTCAACTGTGAGCCGGTAAATCTCAGATACGACCTTTTAGTTTTGCATCCTCCTCTAATTCTGCTTGTAATTCTTCCGGAGATTTTTGCGGTGATTGTTGCTTTTCTCTTTCCTCTTTTTTCCTACTTTCTTCTTCCGGCAAATAAACCAAAAAATAATAGCCAAGGCCGCAGAGTAAAAGAACGATTAATAATTGCTGCTGTTGTTTCTTTTTCATGGTTATTCCTCATTATTTTTATTGCTGCTATTCATGACCTTCATCATCGCCATTTGTCGCATGAATTTCTTATCCTCTTTGGTGTCTTCTTTGGCCTCGTCGTCTTTTTGGATAAAAAGATAAAGTGCTAATCCGACCAGTCCCAGAACGAACACTAACATGGTTTTATTTTGGGTGAAAAAACTTTTTGGGTCTTCCAAGGGATTGGGGGTTTGGCCGTTTCCATTTTCTCCGCTGCCACTACCGCCTGGCTCTCGGCCTCCTCTTGGGTTATTAGTTGGCTCAGGGGCATTACCAGCAAATAATCTTTCCAGGTCATCCAAATAATTATATCTCTCTAAATTAGCCAAGGGATTATGTTTTAACTTTCCCTTTATCCTTTCAATATCGTCAAGTGCCTCATTTACTAAAAGCATTAATTTTGTCTTTTCGGTCGGACTAGTATTAGGGTTGTTATACTTGGCTAGATTTTCGTTATATTTACTTTCGGCTTTTCTCAAATCATCCTCCAATTGTAATAATTCTTGTTGATGCTTTGGTTCCAATTTTTCTATGGAATTTAATTGATTTGTTAATTTGGTTGAAAATCTATCTAAGTACTTCTTCAAGAATTTTCCAAAAAAATCATTTCAAATAATACAGATACCCGCTACCGAAGTAGCAGAAGTAACGCG